ATACACAGATATCTGAAACACAAGGTAGAGAAAATAAGTGTCACGAAGTACCTAAGGGGATTCTAAGACGGGAGAGATTAGACTGAGTGGTAGAAATCTAGGAGGACATTATGTAAGAGATGATGTTTGAGATGAGTCAAGCTTCCTGAAGGATGGTATTTCAGATCAGTCATGAAGAATTTTAGCAAGCAGAATTTGGTACAGGTTGGAAGGGTAAGACAAGTGAGAGTGGGGACATTCGTGCAGGCAGATGAAATCACAAGAGTAAACTCAGAGGTATTAAAGAGTGGGGTATGTTTGGGGACCCTCAAGTGAAGTGGTTTCAGCGTGTACAATTAGGGGACTGTGGAAGGTACAGGGAAGGGTACACTGGGGTCAGGCTGCAAAGGGCCTGGCTTGCTGGGGTGCAGCATTTTTTTCTAGACTAAAGGCAAAGGGGTGGGGGAAAGTTCAAAGCCAGAAGATGGAGTGAATGGGTGAATGACCTTAGTTAATCTATAAAATTCGTTTTAAAAAGAAAAAAAAGAGAACAATTTCTTTTCTTAATTTATTTTCAATAAATTAATAGTTAAATAGCAAATTAGAATCAGTGGTAAAAATATCACAAAACAACAGATAAAATCTTTGGTTGATACTTCTAATAACATTCTACAAAGCACAATAATTCAATTTCAATAAAAAGGCATAGGAGATTACGGAGGACTGTTGGAAAGAGACGAGCCTAATCATAAGGTGCTGGTCCATTTGCAATCCTAAAATACTCAGTGACCGAACAAGGCTGTAGAAAGGCTGGGCACTGGGTCAGGAGACTGGCACTGAGTTTCCACTAGCTGCCTGTGTGACCTCTGCAAAGTCACTTCAAAATCCTCTGGACTGGTTTCTCCTCTGTCACATGAGAAGTAGAATTAGCCAATCTAATGACCTATATAAATAAATGGACTTGTTTATACTCAGTTTCTAGTGGTGTATCCATAGCAGACCAAAAAGTTGTTTTCACGTAACAGACTAGCATAGATTATAGAATCTGTCTAAACTCTTCTGGTGGGTTCAAATGATCCATAAAGAGATGTACCATTGGTGGACTACAATATGTTTGAACCATAAATCTTACTATTGCCATCACCAAGTATAGGACACCAAGGAAGACTACAGAGTGACTTTTGAATTGGAAGCCTCCAGTCTTATGGATACCTTGCCAAGGTTTTGGTCCACATATACCTACAATTCCTTCTGACAGTCATTTTCACCCAACGCAACTTGATATACCAAAATGCGAGCCTGAAAAAGAAATCATCTAAGAGGTGTCTTACTTAAAGCGATAGGTTAAATGTTTATTCATCCTATCAAAGGGATTTCCTGCAAGGTTCCTTTACATAATGATCCCCCTCACAGAGTTTAATGATGATTCAGTCTCCTGGAGACTTTTAGGAGCACTCTGTCACATTTCGGTGGAAAGGCCCTCTGCACACACAGCCATGGCCTCAACAGCAGGAAAGTGCGCTCATTCTGAGAAAGGCAATAAAATCCCATATTCGGGCCTCTGTGCCGTCCTCAGCAACAGGAAGCTAATACAAAAATACTGTCAAAAGTGTGGTTTTGATTTAATGCCAGATGAAAGAGTAAGTAATACTGCTCAATTGACAACTGTAAACAAAGCTTTGGTAGTTTGGGGACACACTTAAGTCCACCTAAGCTCGCGAGAAAGAATGCTTATGTGTTTCCCCATGTGACTATTCTGGGTCCACCGGGGAGCTGACTGAATGCAGTTTAAAGAAAGGACACTGAAGGAAATGCATTGTTTCTGACAAACACAACACACTACATAATGACATAATGGCCTTCTATTTGGGGGAATGAGATTTTGAGGGAGCCTCACCCAACTTTCTTCTGATTACCAAAGAGGCTCATTTCAACCTTTCCTAAATCAAGTATCTTCTTTCTAGAGTGGTGGGGAATTTAAATTCCTCTATTGTGTATACACTGGAAATCCATAATTGCAAATCCATCAATTTCCTACTGGTGGTTCAGAAGGTTTTAAAACCAATGTACCATCATTAACTTTGGAGAAATAAAACATCCCAGAGACAATCAAACGATATTATTTGTATTCTGGGCTTGGCTATGGAATTCATCTCTGAATCCAGGCATCATCAGGGTGGCAAGTGGTGGTGAGTTATGCCAGATCCAAACTGTTCCATTGACCTGTGGGTACCACCCCTCCCACCATAAGATTTAGCTCCTTAGCAGGAAAGACAAATTCCAAATTCATTAATTCATTAGAGGCTGGGTTTACAGCCCTATTGTCTATTCTAAATCTTTTGTTTAAACTAAGCTCTCTGTTAAATGAGCTGTTAAATGGTAATGTTTGGATTTTCATAATTATATTTGAATTTTACGGGTCTTAAGTCAGCAGGAACTCAGGCCGAATTAGAAGTATTGACACCTGACATGTGAAACTGAGGGTTTAGAAAACCTATTGCAGCTGTTTTCCATGAGAAAACTAGAAACTCTAATCCATAAATGATTTGAGTCCCTGCCTGTCACAGATAGAATCCACCATTTGGCTTTGTGATAATGTAATAGGAATTGTTCAAGGCAGGCAATGCCTCACATTTCTGCAGAGATAACGCATGCATGGCTCTTCCACGTGCATCTGCTGCGTTCCTGTAATCCTTCCATGTCAGGAGGGTCTTTTCTCCACAGATTTTCCCACAGGCTCCAGGATTTCCTTTCTGCGAGGGCTATCTTTACATTCATCAACCTGAAGGCTTGTTTTGTTCACCCTTGATCAAACATCCTACATTTTTCAAAACAAAGTTTAAAATACGTTCGGAGGGAAGATATTCTACTCATCTGAAATGCATCTTCCTTATAACTGAAAACATGTTGAGTGAAAGTGATTTTCAAACCCATTTTTAACTATGATTATTCTTTTCTTCAAACATGTAGATCTTGGATACATAAAATAGACAGAAGCAGGCCTCTTTGCCTGAAGCCTCAGGGGGGATGGGCTCCACAGCCACCTTCTTCGTGGCCTCCTTTCAGCTCCCGGCAACTGTCCCTGAGCCACCGCCTATGAAGCTTATATTCGTGCCTCACAGATTATTCATCAAGTTGACCCTGCAACATGCTAAAGGCTGTGGACGGCCACGGGCTTCTGAGCAAGTATTTCCCGAGGCGATGAGCCAGAGCCACGCTGCGGAATGTGGTGGCTTGGGCCCGGGGAAGGGACCTGGTGGGCACCGAGCGGAGTCCTGTCCGGCAGGCGGGGTCCCTGGGGGAAGAGTTCCAGGAGGTTGCCCGGCGCCACCGCCCCCGTCTGCTGCAGGCTCTGCTCCCCCAAGACCTTGACCAAGAAGTTGATGTACCTCATGGCCAGGCGGAGCGTCTCATTCTTGCTCAGCTTCTTGTCTGGAGGGTGCGTGGGGAGGAGCTTTCTGAGCCTGGCAAAGGCGCCGTTCACCTGCTGCTGCCGCCACTGCTCCCTGGTGCCTGCGAAGACCTTCCTGGTCATGTCTGCGGCCCTGCGGGGGAGACAAAGGCCCCGAGGCCAACGCCGCGTAAGGGGCCTGCTGGGTGTTACGTGTCCTGCCCCAAACTTGGGATGTTCGATCTTCCCCACGCGGATTTTAGGAAACTCATTTTGTCATTTTCCGGTTTTCGGAATCCTCCTTCTGATAAGGGGAGAAAATGTGGCAGAAGAAAAGGCAGGGTAAGAACACCAGCCTTCGGCCCTTCTCGCCCTGGCTGTTTGGAAGCCTCCAGTTACAGGCTGGTTTATCCCAGTACCCCCATCACTTCTTTTATAATCAACTCTCCCTAATTTCCTGGAGTCAGGTGCAGCATCAGGCTGAGTACATGTATAGGATTGAGTAATAACATATATAGCTAGTGAATTGGGAGTTGAATATGGATTCTTTAAAAAAAAGCTGCGGTCCTAGGTTTCATTAATAAGACAATGTTCACCCAGCCGGGCGTGGCTCAGCGGTTGAGCGTCGACCTAGGATCCAGGCGGTCGGGGTTCGATTCCCGGTCAGGGCACATGCCCGGGTTGAGTGCTCGATCAATGACTCTCTCATCATTGATGTTTCTATCTCTCTCTCTCCCTCTCCTTTCCTCTCTCTGAAATCAATAAAGGTATATTTAAAAAATAATAATAATAAGACAATATTCGGAGTGATGAAAATAACACACCTCTCCTCTTAGCTGGCAGACCTCACAGCATAACAGCTAAGATATCCAGACTGGACCACATTTTAGAAGATGATGAACAGGGTCTGTTCATCAAAAGTCTGTTGTATGAAGAACAGAAGTGGGGATATTCAGGGTGACAAAAGAAGACAGACCAGGGACAAGTGGGGGTGATGATTTGTCATGGATGCTGTAGAAGGCATGCAGGCCTGTGTGACATGGAGAGGGAGGCACAGGGACAGCTGGAGCAGAGAAACAGCACCTAACCAGGCATTCTGGGGGCAGGGGGTTCCAGGCAGACCACGCGTCCTTCCAAACTAAATGGGTAGACCAGCTGACCCCCAAGTTGTCTTTCTGTTCTGAAATGCCATGACACCCACCTATTGCCAATTATCTAATCCAAGCCATTTCTAAATAACCTGGTCTTTGGTTCCACAATGAAAATATGAGTGTTGTCAGAACTGTGCCCAATTGTACCTAAAATTAAAAGTTTGAACCTAAATCAGGAGGATTTTAAGATAGAAAGAAAACTGTCAAGTTTTCTCTCAGCAAGGCTGGCTGCTTGGCCAGGACTATGGGAGCAAAGTTACTTTCAAGCTCCTCTTGTTAAAAGAGCGTTTAGCTCATTCACTTCAACTCTAGGCCCATGGGGGGCCTTTTCAAACTGGGAAGAAAAAGATTAGGCAGGATAAACTAACTGGTGTGCTCTTCTAAGAGCGCTCCATTCCATTGTGCTCAAAGCAGATAGAGGAAGACAAGCTTCTGAAATGACGCCTGCCATCCTAGGGGGTGCTTAAAATTACTTGTTGATTTAGCCTCAAGTGTTTTACTCTCCTTCTCCATAGGGGGGAATACAAATCAGTGATTTAACAAGCTGGAAAACTCAAAGAAGAGGTCACTGGAAATTACTAAAGTCCTTATTTGGGTGGTAAGCACACACTGCAATATACAGATGTTGTATCATAGAGCTGTACACTTGAAACCAATGTCACCCCAATAATTTTAATTTAATTTTTTTTAAAATTATATTTAGTCTTTTTCTAGTTGTAAGGACTGACTGCTGCTAATCTTGATTTCAGAGTAATTTAAGAGTAATTTAAAAAAAATATGCCAGATGCCACAGAATCAGAAAACATGTGATAGATGTCAAAAGAGAGGCAAAGCATTTTGTCCCAGGTCAGACAGTGAATCAGTGGCAGAGCCTGCGTCCCTAGCCTGGGTGTTTATGCATTTGTGTCACCACTGACCCCTGCTGGGTCAGGGTCCACAACTGTTTTTTGTGCCATGGACCCTCCTGGCAATCTGAGGAAGCCTAGGGATGGATTCCGTCTCAGAACAATGATCTCAAATAATACATAAAGTAAAAAGCCTTTAGTTGTCTTCTCAGAATGATGATTTTGAGTGTGTCAATTAAAATACATAGACACATCAAATAACCAATTATGCTTAATAGTGATTAAAAATAATTTTAAAATTATATACAGTAATACATGTACTTTGTTTTTTAACACAGTATATTTATTACCATAATTTCTAATTAGGGATATGTAAATGATTTTTTTCCAAAAAATTTGCAACATCTGTAATGTGAAAGGATCTAGGGTTTCTACTGATGCTAATAGCACTGTAGTTTATTACCCACATCCATAAATAAAGGAAAGGTTAAATTTAGATGAAAGGTTAGTGGAAATAAAGATGTAACTTTTTCCCATCTAAATATAGAACCTCCTAATTCTACCTACACACCCCTGAATGGGTGAGTGTCACCACCCGGTAGGAATGCCTGGGTGGGAGGAAGGTCATAGTAAACAAACTTGTGTTTATGTTGTCACCTCTGAAGGTAGCAGGTTACCAGAGAAAAGAATGACAATTATGCCCCCGGAGAAGGTGACTAATGCCCCCAAGGGGAGCTGCTGCTTTTTCACGCTGGCGGTTCCTGGACACATAACCCAGGTCAACTAGAAAGCATGAGACACAGACACAGGGCAAGCACGGGTGGTGGCCTGCCCAGGAACTCAGACACTTTCGGCTCTTTCCCCCTAGGCCTCGACATTTCTCTGCTGGCACTTGGCCCTGTGCACGTGTCTCCTCTTTCATCTTTCTCTAGAAAGCACATGAACAGGCTCTGCAGATCGCCAAGGTGAAGGGTGGTTTAGACGGCTGTGCTGGTGGACCATGCCGAACCCCCAGCACCAGGCACAGCTTTGCCTTTGGAAATGTTTGTAGATGGGATACAGGCTCATTTAAGAAAATATAATCAAGCAGTACCCAAGTTCATAAAGTACAAACTAAAAGCCTCCTTACCTACCTACCTACCCACCTACTTAATCTCTTTCCCAGGAGCGGCCAGTTTGGTGTGTCCATATCACACTATACATATGCCGTATGTGTAATATAGAAATCGGAATACGTACGATTACGCAGGTTACTGTTCTCATCAGACAGCTGCATGCTGATGTTCTAGATAAGCTCGCTTACTGGGACGCCAGCCCTCGGGCGGGGACCGGGAGCGCCGCCTGTGCCGGGGGGC